AAAATGAAGAAAACAGCACCCAGCGGCTGCTGTCCAACGAGACACAACGATGAAAGCTGCGGGAAATGTCTCGGCAGCGCCTGTTGCTGCCTGGCGTGGCACGGCAGCGTCTGCTGCTGCCTGAAACGATTCAATACACAGAAGGGCTAGGGGTGCAGAAAGAACGGGGCTGGAGGCACGGTGCTGGCATGGACGGCGCTAAGGCAGGCTCAACCGGCGGTGGTTGCAGCACTCAAAAGAAGATCGATGCATGACATGGGCTTCTTCAGTTGGGGGGGTTTTGCCTTTTACCAAGTGAAGGAGACGATTCCTTTAGATGCTTCTGCCACTCACATCCTTCCCCTCCCTCTAAAGTCCTATTCCCAAAATCAAGGTAAAGGTTAAGGACCTCCATGGAATGGAAAGGACTACTAGGGAAAAGATGATTACAAAAGAAAAAGAGGGTAGGACAACAAAAAAGGTCGAAGGTACCCCCCCCTTTACTCTACTGCTTCTAAAGAAGGCTTTTCCCCTAAAGTTTATTTATAAAAGTATGCATATATATACACACATATATATATATATATATATATATAAATTTAACAAAGAAAGGCTTAAAAGAATTAAGGTGGCTAAAGCTCCAAATAGATAGGTGAAAACGCATACCTCCCTAACGAGGCGAAAACCCTTGTTGCGCACGGAGCAGGGAAAAGGGAAAAAATTTCGGGTGTTACAGAAAACAACATCAGACTTGCGGAATGTCGGGTTTGAACGAAGATCCTAACGTGTGTGAAACTGATTTTCATGTCCATGACAAAGGATAATTTTCCATCGATAAGGTACATATATTATTTTATTTACGGTTGATTTTTTTGTAAGAATTTATTTATTTATTGCAAACATATTAGTAGTTTGTTTTAATTATTATATTATGTAATGTTAGAATAAAACGACTTTTTATGGGTAATTTATTTATTTATTTGCTTTTATGTATTAAAATTTTGTCAATTTAAATATTTAAGGCGTTCTCATCGTGTGAGGAGTTAGTTGATTGGGTTCAAAATAAAGGACGCTCTCTTAGTTATGTTATAGTGATTAAACGATCCAATATTGGACCAAGTGGAGTGATGAAAAAGGTGCTTTTAAATGTGATCGCGATGGCGTATACAAAAGAGAGAAAATATCAAGTAGACATACCAGAAATAGGAAAATGAATTGTCCATTTGGATTGGTAGGAAAATATTCAATCAGACGTGAATGTTGGACAATAAAGGTGCAATGTGAGACACATAATCGTGAACCAGCGTTCAATCTAGGAGGTCATCCATATGCAGCCTGATTGTCTGCAAATGAAGCTCAGTTAATGGTTGATTTGTCAGTGAATCGTGTCAAACCACGAGACATCTTATCCACCCTTAAGAATCAAAATTTGGATAATGTCTTCACACTTAAAACCATTTACGATGCTCGCAATAAAGCTCGAACGACAGAGAAATCTGGTAGAACTCAGATGCAGATCCTTATGTCATTTTTAGTTTGAGAAAATTACTTTTATCAGACTCGAGTCAATAGTTTGACGAATGAATTAGAAGATTTATTCTTCGCTCATCCAATATCTTTGGATCTATGGCATGCTTTTCCCCATGTACTGTTGATGGATGCGACGTATGCAACAAATAAGTATGAGATGCCCTCTTGTTGAGATTGTGGGTGTAACATCGACGAATATGACATTTTGCATTGGATTTGCTTTTATGAGTGATGAAAGTGAATCATCGTATATTTGGGTATTAAATTGTCTTAAATTGACAATGAACGGATGCATTTGTCCACGTGTTATCATCACAGACAGAGAGTGGAGTTTGATTAAAACATGCCACAGTGTATTTTTGGATGCAAAAAAAAAAAAAAAACTGCTCTGTAGATGGCATATATCCAAAATCATTTTGAGAAGAAGCAAAAAGAAGAAATCGGGGAATTATTCTCAAAATTATTTTTATCAAGCATGGAATCGTTTAGTCTAGTCTCAGACGAAAGAGGAATACTACAATAATTTGGAAGAACTTCAAACAATATTGAAGGACTATCAAGGTATTGTTGATATATATAAGTATATTTCATATGTTTTCTAACATATTTTGTGATATTGAATTATGTTTGTTTCACTTTTCAGATGTATTGAAGTATCTGAATGACATATGGTTGAACCCCTTTAAAAAAATGTTTGTATCTGTCTGGACTGACAAATATCTTTACTTTGGAAATCACATAACCAACAAAGTTGAGAGTCAGCATGCCAAGTTTAAACTATACTTGGATACACCACGACCAGATTTACAATCACCATTGTATGATGTTCACAATATGATTAAGGCTCAAGAAACTCATAAAAGGCCAGTTTCGAAAAGAGCAGAACTGTAAGAAAGCATCGTTATAACATACCACAATTCAACACATTATGTGGTTTCATTTCAATACATGCATTGGATTTAGCATACAAAGAGCTTGAGCGGTGTAACAATGTTGGTGTATTTTCTGAAAATTGT